AGATAGATAGATAGACTATCTATCTATCTATCTATCTATCTATCTATCTATCTATCTATCTATCTATCTATCTATCTATCTATCTATCTATCTATCTATCTATCTATCTATCTATCTATCTATCTATCTATCTATTATTATCTATCTATCTAGCTATTGGACAGATAGATAGATAGATGTATGCAATGTGTATATAGTAGATATCTATCGGCATTTATCTTTGGAGCTCCTTGGCGGCTTATAGGTGGATTCCACCAGTAGATGGCGTCCGTAGACAACGTCGATATGGCTAAGAATAACAGACAAATCATGGTTCGCTCTGGTTCGGTCACTGATCTCTACTATACTAACTAACTAACTAACTATACTAACTACTATACTAACTACTAACTACTAACTACTAACTACTATACTAACTAACTAATGTTAGTATAGTAGAGATCAGTGGGTTCAACATCGAACTGCATGCAGTGCCCCCTTCGTACAACTCGTGAATTGAGCCAGAGCGAGAGCGCCATCTGTCGTGGAGTTTGACTCAACATAATATACGTTACTCATGCTAAATTACCGTATAGGTGAAATTCACCACTAGGTGGCATCCATAGAACAGCAGGCCTGAATAAGAGTAACACGAAATTTAATGTATAATACTTAGTAAGCGCCGATGTATGCAGATCATATACTTTATTCATGATAAATGATCTTATAGGTAGACTTCACCAGTAGATGGCGTTCACAGACTGCAGGTCCGAATATAATAAGCACAACAAAATTATTTAAAATACTTGGAAAAGTTTCGGTGCATATACACAACATACGCGTTTATTCGTGATAAATTACCTCAGATTCATCGAGTCCAACCAAATGTCCCAACCTTACTCGCAACCTTTGCTAGAGGCATGATGTTCAATTGATGCCTGATGACGGGATGAATAAAGTTGTTCGGATTATGGCATCATATCCAATCTTGTTTTTTTTTCGCGTATCAGAGCCAGGCTACATCCCAGAACTGCATAATCTATAATGCATCTATCTTACGCGTAAAATGCAGACTAGTTCCCTCTAATGCCGAATATAACCATGAAAATTGAGAAAACGGTCCTTCCACCGAGACAAAACAGTGCGACAACTTGCGGAACCCTAGCGCTCATAGAGTCTATGTCCCCCAGGATACTGCCGGAACGTACCCTGTGTACGGTCCGGTATACCGGAACGTACCCTGGCAACTATTTGATATGGTTAGGGTTAGGTTTAGGGTTAGGGAGTAGGCGTAGGCAAATCCCTAGATTCGTTAGTCGAGTAGGCGAGGTACGGTCCGGCATATTTGATAGTACCAGGGTACGTTACGGTATACCGAACCGTACCCAGGGTACGTTCCGGCAGTACCCTGAGGGACATAGACCCTCGCAGCAACACTAGCTACTGCTGCGTGCTACCCATAGGCAACTTGCCTACTGCTGCGTGCTACCCATAGGCAACTTGCCTACTTGTTTGTAGAAAAAAATCATTATAGTATATACAGTTGGCAATTTTTGCAGTACAGTAAGATTCCAATCACGGTCTATGCTGTTCGTCTAATGATGTTCGCTCGCATCTTTCTCTGTTTTAGCAAGGCTCAGCTTCCCTTACCTTATACCGTCTTCCCCACACCATCCCATGTATCCAGAGTCGCTCTTTTTAATAATTGCTCTGCATGCTAAACCGAGAAATATGCATATCATGCCAAACAAATAGACGTATAGTAGATGTGTGTAGATGCATGTATAGTAGATGTGTGTATATGTGTAGTAGGTATAGTAGATTATCCACTTCGGCCGTGATAAATGTATAGCGAGTTAGATGTAGTTGCGATATTTGCATGCATCTCTGTGTGCAGGTACGCTCGTATGCCGCTTGACGCATTAGTGGGGCACATATATGAATATATATCAGGAGTAGATAATAGGGATTCCCTATTATCTACTTCTTATATATATATTAATACCCGTAAACCAGCAGCCTACATTTTGCGACACGCATGACAGATTTTACATACGCACTGTTGCTGAACAATGTTTCCCTCCATGTTTTGAAGCTACTGGGTCACTGTAGCTGCGACTATGGTTAGGTATACACCGGCCTTCTTGAAGATACAAATACTTTAGCAAGGTATCTGCGCATGTTAAGATGTTTATACGTAATCTTATTTCGTTTATTGGTGTCCACGCAGTGTTCGTGATCTGGCTGTATAGTGGTAAGTATCAAGCTATATAGTTACGTATCGGCATAGATTTTGTACATATACATATATATATATATAATATATATATACTATATATTGCGTATGTGGTGCTTGCGTGCGTGCGTGCGCCGCGCGCCCTGTGTTTTCTTTTTTTTTTTTTTTTTTTTTTTTTTTTTTTTTTTTTTTTTTTTTTTTTTTTTTTTTCTGGTGGCATTTTTTTTGTGGTGTGGTGTGTGTGTGGTGTGGTTGTGTGTGTGTTTGTTTTGTGTGTGGTTGGTGTTTTGTGTGTGTGTGTGTGTGGTGGTGATGGTGTTGTTTTTTTTTTTTTTATATTTTTTTTTCTTGGGGGGGGGGGGGGCGATTTTTTTTTTTTTTTTTTTTTTTTTTTTTTTTTTTTTTTGTTTTTTTTTTCTGGTGGTGTGGTGGTGGCTGTGTTCTGTCGTACCGTCGCTTTTTGAGGTGGTGTCGTGTGCACCCCTTAATTTATCCAATCCAATGGTAATCCTATTTATAGGTGCCATTTAGCTCTTTTCTGTCATATATTGTCCAAGTATAGCTGTGATATAACTAAGTTCATCATCCTCGTCTTTGATTTTGCGCATAATATAACTACACTCCCACTACGGTCATTTCATCTGTAGACATAGAGACGCTCGGGTTTTGCGTTCTTTGGTTAAGTGTAGCTATTTGCTGCAGAACAAGATTTGCAGGTGGCGTTTGAGGAGCATATATGCGTATACAGGTAGAGGTACCAGAAGGAAAAGCAAACAAAACCAACACTGCTAATAAAAAAAACCGTTTTTGCGTTTCGATTTTTGGACGCACATTCAAATTAGGATGGTCTTACGTCTCTCAAAATTAAAATTACTTAGTGATGGAAATAAGCTTAACTGGTCTTGCTCGTGTGTTTACATAAGTGTGTAGCGCCCTGCTTGATAAAGCCTATCCTTAGAGAACGAGTTTCCCACTTGCTCTAGTTTCTCTTTGGCTGACTGTATGCGCATATATAGCTGCACTAGAAACTTGTATGGCCACACGAGTGCGCCACGTATACGCTTGTAGGTCGCGCTAGTCGGATCTTTCACTTCAGCATTCATTTTATTGCGAGCTCCTTTGAAACATTTGCAGTTCGTCAAAACGCTATCGTGACAGAAATACTGTTAACAAAATATTAACATTTTCTCGATTAAAACGGCTTTATTCCTGTTATTCTAACTTGTTAAGGGAGGTAATTATTATCTGTGATTATAATTATTAGAGTCATCGTAATGATTGTAATGATTGTAATGATTAGAGTCATCAGCCGTTTAATGACACACAAAGGATTTTCAGTAACAATGACTAAACTTGGGCTGCTTCTTTCGATCGTGTCTACTCTCTCGTAGTTATCTCATCGGTCTTTGCCAATCGATTGACTAAACGTCCTTGTGTTGGATTCGGGATCTTTACATCGCACAGTTTAGGACCGATCTGTGTGACAGTGGCGGGCTGAAATGAGTGATTTTCAAAACAGCGGCGTTCACCATGATACATAGAAAAATGCTAATTTTATCATTGTGCTCGAAAATTAAGTGAACGCTACTCAAATGTAAATACGATCTAAATGTCTTAATGGGTTTATCTTTCACGAAATCTCAGTTGGCGTAGCAATATTATTAAGGAAACATCGTTCGAACAAAATATACGTAACGGTAACTATTCATTTTGGCTCCAATTAAATGGACGGACTGCTAGGCAAAGTTATATATATATATATATATACATAATACCTAAAATACAATCACATTATAAGAACCGTAACAGAGCCTACACGATGGCAGTGCAAAGACACGCGATTTTAAGAGCCAATCAGATTTTGATGGGCAAGTTTGGGCGTCTGGAAATGCTTCGGCGAAAGTCGCGAACCTTCAGAGATGTCCGGCGCGAAAGGGTCGCCTACAGCCCGTTTCACGACCGTACGTATCGGTTCCCGTCGGTATACCGTAGTATCGACATCGTATTCACTCGTATGATTCGTTATATACATCCTCTGAACTGCGTCAAACCCGACCATGCAGCTAACATTATCAAAATGTTGAAATTACGCGATCCCGCGTCATGGGATGAGCAGCGTATAGCTGAGGGAAATTCACCGGTCTATCTATACACGCGCATCATTCGGCCACTCGGGCGAGTAGAGCAATGTTTATAACATCATCGGACAGTGGCAAGCGCGAGTATATAATAACAGTGGCAGCATCCCGCGAAATTGGTTACAAACATTTCGGACCCCGAGGCGTATTGAGAATGGTGCAACTAGGGCGCACGTACGCCACGCGCCATATCTACGAGTGTACCTACACACGACGCACGCACGCACGCACGCACGCATACACACACACACACACACACACACACACAACACACACACACACACACACACACTCACACACACCACAGCAACACACACACGCACACACAACACACACACACACACACACACATACGCGCACCACACACACATGCACACATATATATATATCAATATATATATATATATATATATATTATATACACGAATCACGAATACGCATATATGTATGGCTATTGCTTTGTTTGCGCGGCTGTGCGTGGATACATTAGGCACTTCACGTAGCATAGTTTAGAGTCGTTAATGTAATATGACCATGGCGCACTCAAACTGTGAGATGTTGGTCAATAAACATACTTCATTGATCTCGTGTATGCTTCAAAAACAGGAAAATGGCAACATTTATTAACGCTTGTTCGTTGAAAAGGTTCACGAAAGTTGCAGCTACCGATCGTTTAAAAAAATTCAAGGCACTCAGCACATTATTTCGGGTGAGTGCCCATAGCCACCCTTAATAAATAATAATTAAAGTCAATAAACGAGGGTGTGTACTTATTTACCCATATTTACCATTTACATACACATAAATAACTTATAAATACACATTAAATGCAATACGTTGTTTGTACACGTAGGCATTATAGAAAAGCGTTATCAGTGGCCTGAACATCCAGAGCTGGAGAACGCATTGATCGATTGACAACGACAAATGATATTGATTAGTTTCAGTCTTATAGTATAGTATACACTTCAGACTAACTACAGTTTGGCGGTAACAAGTTGTGAAATCGAGGGTTGGACGGACTATTTTGTATTTTACCCACAGCTTTAGCCGTTCATGAAACTGATGCGATGCTGGATTTGATAATTATTCCTAATAATTAATTCAAGAATAAACACGAACATATCCGCTGGTAGGCGGGCAAGCACCCATGTTCACACTGATGGCACGTATGCACGTAGGTACGTGCACGCATATACGTGCACGTGTGTGTGTGTTTGTGTGTACGTAGCCAGGTATACAGGCGGGCAGATATACGCGCAGAACAAGACGTCCGTACTGCATCATGATGTACGTTATCAAGAGCTAATAATACCCTGTATTTTGCCTATACTACGACATATACTATACTACATATATGCCTATACATGCCTATACTTTCCTATACTATATATACATATACCTTGTATAATACCTTACACACGAAGTATTGTTAACCTTGTATATATCAATGTAGTATTAGCCATTGACGTTAAGTATCGCTGGAAACCTCTGTCTCCGCGACAATCCGTCTGATACACTTGAATCTCGCATGTCGCCCACGCGGCCTAGCTGCCCACACCCAGAACGATCGCAGCATAGTCACTAATTATCGCGAGTAGAATATTTATACTCATAGTGTTAATTAAATGATCAGCGACGAATATTAATGTAAATTGCGCGTTCCTGGATGAGAACAATCGCGCGTTAATTATCGTCATCTTGTACGGTATGCTGACTTAATTTGCATAGTACATGTTATGTGCGAATAATCGCTCATAGATCTAGCCGACGGAAATGGTTTCAATTACGATAAGTGTTCTATATATACGCAATTGGCGGAACTGTCGCATGCGTTATCTAATACACTCTCAATGAAGACCGCACATTTTTGTCACGTATATGTAATTGATATGCGTTAACTGTGTGGCGTTCATTATAGCGCAAAAAGTGGCAATAAAATAACTACTAATGTATATACACACGCGCGCAAACACACGTGCGTGTGTGTGCGTGTGTGCGTGCGCGGGCGTGCGTGCGCGGGCGGGCGGGCGTGCGTGCGTGTGCATGTGCGTACGACGGTGCGTGCGTGCGTGTGAGTGCGTGTGTACCCGCGTGCGTGTGTGTCTGTGAGCGTGTGCGCGCGTGTGTGTGCGTGCGTGCGCCGGCGTGCGTGCGTGCTCAGACAATGTATAAGTGCGTTCGCCTGTATGTGCATCGTGATTTTCGTCGTTGTAAGCTTCAGCAGTTATATCTACACAGCGTATATTATATCTATAGCGTATATTATATTTGTCTCTACTTTTTTCCCCGTCAGATGTTGCGATATGTCAGAGATACACCACGACTACCCCAGCACCGTTCATTCCTGACTACGCCAAGCTAACCTGTTCCGACTACGAGACAGTGTTCGTTTCGGATCTGTCCAACTGCAGCGTCTTTTATCATTGCGAGTTTGGAAAGCCTAGAAAGAAGCCGTGCGCTCGTAGTAAGTGAACACTTCTACTTCTACTTCTACTTCTACTTCTCACAGAACACTTCAGGAGTTATATTATTATGCTTGGTGTTGGATGGTGTGCATGTGTACGGTACACATACGGAAGTCAGTGACCTTTACCAGACGATCAGCTTATACGCCATATTTCGCCGTTGTTTTGAGTGGTTTCCTCCAATGTTAAGCGAAGGTTAGTGGGCGATTGATGAGTTATAGAGGAGTCTGGAGAGGTAGCGGGACAAATGAGTGGAGAGAGGAGATAAGTGAGCGCAGAGAGAAAATAGAGATGATGTAGATGAGATGGAGAGCTTAGGGAGGAGATAAAAGGAACAAAGGAAGTTAAGGAGGTAAAGGAAGTGGAGAGCTGATAGAGGCTGATAGAAAGTGGGGGAAGGGTAAAGGCGATAGATGAGAGACATGGTACGAAGAAAGGAGTGATGCGCGTGAATGCATGGAGAGGCAGACGAGGAGAAGGAACGCCTTATAGTTCATTCATACATTTAACACATCAAGGCGTATATTGAATCTTTTGAATTTTTTATGTGTAGATATAATTGTGTTTAATTTCCAGCAATTTATTTTTAACATAAAAATCCATATCCTCTTTAAACGTGCTAGCGCTTGTCCGTAGCATGTAGTCAACATACTAGCCGATAATATTCTCAATTATTTATTTCGTTGCCGCAAGCTAAATCGTATAATTGTAATACAAATTCGTACGGTTTCTAATGTACTTGTGTTGTGCTTTCTATTGTCTTGTATTGCGTTGTCCTTTCTATTTATTCTCTTTCTATTTATTTTATTCTCTTTCTAATTGTATTGTGGTTTCTATATACTACTGTGAAATCTCTTCCAATTATCTTCGCAGAAACAATATGGACGCCATCTTTGCTGCGATGCTTGCGCCCTAACGAAGCCGTGAACAGTGAATGCGAATTTGTTTACCGCGAAGAAGACTGGTCGACAACACTAGCGCCTAAGAAATCGAAAAAGTCGCGGAAACGGAATAACGCTGCTGCTGCGCTACAGTGGGGATCGCCCTTTGAGTTACTAATGTTGACAACATTATATACTGCGTTTGCGGCTGCTATACAATAAAACGCACAGCGTTCGATCGGTTGCAAAGGTGAGAGCAGGTATTTTGCTTGCTGGTACCTCACATTTAATTCATTAATTACCGTAATTTAAACGAGATTAAAAAGACATTTGTTGACCTGGAAAGTAATTTAATCTTTGGAAAAACTGGGTGTACATAGACGTTTTGTTGGTGTAGGGGCTTCTATAGTCCCATTTGTTTTGTTTTGTAAGCAGTTATTTTATGGGTTGCGTACTGAGCCACCTATCTATAAATCGACAACAGCCGTTGATTCGTGCGCAGAGCTTGGTGAATGTACAGCTAACTAAGAGGCTCGTCAACTCTTGCTCTGCGCGGTGAATATGTTAAGTATAAATAAATTTGTAGATGCAAGTTTTTTTAATGCAATAAATAATATAACACAAATGATGAATTGCGGCGTACTCTCCTTGCCACTTAAACATCATAATTAAACGTGCTTTCTATTTCTGCTGCTATATTTTTGAATTCGTGTCAAGGGACGGATATTGACAAGCGGATTGTTCATTAGGCGTAGGTTTATGCGTTTGAATAATTATACATTGTGGCATATGGCAATAAAGTGGTTTTCTCTTTATTTCTTTCTATTTTTAGAGGCGTCCACTCTTGAATATTACCAGGAGATAGCTAGAATAAATGTGTTTCTTTGCAGTGTTGCCAGAAACCCCTGGCCAGAGATTCTCCTTTAGCGAATGATTTGAATAACTTCTTATGGAAGATTTGTCGACGTCACGTGATGGGCAAAATTTCAAAGCATGTATTTACATTATTCTCAATCGTGTTAGAACGCAGTAAAATAAATTGCCACGGCATCACACTGTCACGATAACAATTTGTAGAAAGTTTGGTTAAGTTGTCTATTGAATCTATACTACAGACATTTAGAAAGCAGCTCGGGTATTAATTCAAAGCCGATTTGTCATGTAATAAGAATTTGCAAGGATACGAGCGTACTCATAAGAGCATCAAGGGTTTCCTGAGTGAGGTGATGATAGCAAGTCTAAGAGCAGTGTACTCGCTTAATTAAAGTTCATTTTACTGTTTTCCTAAAAGTCGTCGTTGAGTATTTCTGTTCTTCGTTTTTCTTCTCCGCTGAACATCGTTGTTGTCATGCATATTAACTTGCGCAGTAAATGACATTAATTTCTTTTGAAAAAAAAACTGTACTATTTTGGCCGCAAAAGCAACGTTGGTACAACGAGGAGTGTTGTCGACACAAGTGTGTACAAGCAACCTCATGGGTCCAGAAAAATGTCTAAACGCAAAATGTTGCGCTCCTAATTCAATCACCGCGCTACGCCGCAGCGATGATTGAAACTGTATCGTATCGATTATATATAAAGCAAGTAATTAACAGAATGCGCGCATGGGGAAATCTGTATGCCTTGGTATATATAAATTTAACATCCGTGTGATGTTTTAGCGCGTCCTCGCGTATTTACTCTGTCGCGTCAATACTTTTTACAGTAGCGGAACATCTCGGCCGTGATCTCTATACGCACGGATACCGTTCTATTACAGTGGTAATGTGCGGAAGAATTTAATGAACACTTCGTGCCGATGCAACTATACGGCGCCTGGATGTAAAGACAAGACATATATATATATATATCTTGTCTAGAGATATATATATATATATATATATATATATATATATATATATATATATATATAGAGAGAGAGAGAGAGAGAGAGAGAGAGAGAGAGAGAGAGAGAGAGAGAAGGGGTGGAGAGAGTTAGATAGATATAGACGCCTCTCTGACCTCGCAGTGAACGTACGCCGGTCTTTTTCTCGTCGTTTACGCAATTAGGGAAGTAAACGGCCAGCTGAGGTCGACTGTTGCCTCGCATGTAGCGTCTCTGCGCACGGAGCTCCGGCCCAGCGCGAACTGTCGGCTGCCACGGACGAATTCAACATGGCCGATTACACTAAAGAGGGATTGAGTAGGGCGCAATTACGGGAATGCGATTTTCTGCCTGGCCGCGAAACCGAGTCACCGCCGCCTAATTAAGGGATGCTGGCCACAAATGCGACTGGACAGTGACATGTATAGCCAGTGCTCTGATATTTGCGACTGCCACGTTCGTAAACAGTAAGCACTCCCGCCAACGAGTAATAATATTGTCACGGTGATGACCGAGATGGGTACATTGTGCGCGATGTCACAGGGCATTGGTGTCAACGCGCGCAAACCGGGGACACCGGCCGTTCTGCGTTGGGGGAAGCAGTATAAGTGAGAAATTCTTGCTGCCAGTTTTTGTTAGTGCATACTGTCAAGGGCTAATAATACATGAGGTATTATTCGCAGGTATGATTAGCTCTTGGTACTGTTAGAGATATGTATAGATTCAGCTTGCTTTAGGGCGAGACTTGTAAAATAACAAGGTAGCCGTACCCCCAATCATCCCGCCCTCCATTACGCATCTCTTTCGTAATATTATAACAGATGAGAAGCGAATGAAAAACAAAATTTCTAACGATTACCATGCGAGTGGCGTTGGCATGCACTATCAAAACTGAGCGAATAGCACTAATGTCTATGTAGCCACGAGCAACGTCTATCACGCCACGAGTCAACGAGCAGTAATTTTAGACGATCTTACTTTTAACGCGATTTTCCATTCAGCTAATAGACAAATTTCGTCGCAGAATAATAGCATTCGTTTTTGCCCAGAGGCCACGCGATTTTAAAATTTGTCGCGCGTCTAATTTTAATCAAAGACGTCGACGGTTTAATGATAATTTTATCGTGCGTCACAACGTGGCGTTATGACATTAGAGTTAATTTGCATTCAAAGATAGCTGAATACGAGGGCGTAATGTACAACGAACAAACATTCAACCCTATAGTACCAAGTAAAATGTTTACATAGTGCAGATTATACCGAGAATTCAGAACTCTAGTCCTCTATACGCAATGCGTGATTATTATTATTATTATTATTATTATTATTATTTTCAAAGTAGATCACAGCATTCGCCGGTGGCTTCTGGGTTGGCCGTGTCACAACCTGGGACATAGGGATTCAATCCAGAATTTTTCGCGGGATGTGTGCTGTTCCCAGTAGCGCGATGTTTTGCTTTTCTTGGGCAGTGTGGTGGCCAGGGAGTTCTCTTCAGGTTATTCTCAAAACCATTCTTTATTATTATAATTATTATTATTATTATTATCATCATCATCATCATCATCATTATTGTTGTTGTTATTTTTATTATTATTAAGTTAGCGTAGTGTGAAATGTAAAATTAGTAAAATGTAATTTTTTTTTAACCCAATCAGTCAAAGGATATTTTGTCCTTCGATACTCGCGTATATTCTACGACAGGCGACCGTCCTAAAATACTGTTAATCGTAAACCAAAGACAAACGCCATAATGTCAGCCTGCACCCTGATTAGAGTAAGACATTATGTGTAGCGCGTAAGAACATCATTCATGAGGTGGTGAAGGTTGACCTAGGACTTGTTTTCATTTGTGTGAGTTACAATACTTCTACAGTGTCAGTACTAAACATGTCTATTGTACACACTGGGTATAGAACGTGACGCAGCTACTACACGTGGAATCGCAAGTTGACATTAAATTGCACACGTATGAGGATGGCCTGCTTGTGTCGAATACTCGTAGGTATTCGATAGTGTGCTATTACTCGACATCCGAGTATCTGAGAGCGATGTGTCTGAAGAACATTTTCGTTTTGAACGTGGATTGTATGTATACACGGCGTGCCATTGCTATACAAGGATGCGTAGCCACATGATATGTCTATTCTATTGACGTAGACATATACACAGTGATGCATAAAAGCCGTGTGTGAAATTGTGGTTTTGAAAAACCGTCAGAGTGGTGCACGCGCGAGAATCTGTGCATATAATATAAAAAAATTAATCAGGAAACTCTCCCATACTATACTTTCACACTAGTTCTCTCTATTGCCCCGATCTCTAGCGAGTGGACTATAGGGAGATTCTCGTTCCTGCATGCGCCTCTCTAGGTAATTGCATCAATTTAGTCAAATTATTCACTCGGAAGCGGGGGTGTTATACGCCCCAATGGACTAATTTGACTGAATTAACGCGTTTAATCGAAATAACATGAGGCCGTTCAACCGAGTCGCAACCTGTATAATAATTATTATATCCACGGAATATCCATAAATATCGACTGCGAATCCGGAAATATCTGAAATGGCTGCGATAGCGACATCACAAATCATGCACGTTTAATGTTGCAAATGATTGCAAAAATGTGGCTCCCGCTCTATGCCTGCTTGAAATACTGTCAAGTATTCATTATTATTTCAATTAATAAGAACAACATTTAACACGTTCCCCGAGAAACGATGCGATGTTGAACGTGTTAATGCGTCGAGGCAGATTGATCCTATATTTTGTTATTTGCCTTATTTCTTTTGAAAGAATCGCGTGACTACGGTCGGAAATGTTCGTGAGCGAGCAGCCGTTCTCTCTGTGTACGTTTACACGCCCCCACGTGTTCCTAAAATTAATTAATAAATACAATGCGTTGGAGGAAGGGCTAAATTATATACGCACAAGCAGGTGTGTCAATTTCGGCTGTTTGTATTGTATTAGAAGAAATTCGCGTGCAGATTTCTATGCGTCAAAGGACACCGTCAATTTATCATGTTCGGTGTGTGTGTATTTAGTAGAGCGGCGCTCACGTCCGAGTAGATGAAGCTCATAGAATTTGTTTAGCAAACGAAACCTACCTTTCATTATTTCAAGGCATGTATCGTTCATTATTTTAAGGCATATACCTTTCATTATTTCAAGGCATGTACCGTTCAGTATTTCATGGCATGTACCGTTCGTTATTTCAAGGCATGTACCGTTTATTATTTATTCATTATTTCAAGGCATGTACCGTTCAGTATTTCATGGCATGTACCGTTCATTATTTCATGGCATGTACCTTGCATTATTTCAAGGCATGTACCTTGCATTATTTTATGTATTACTACCTTAAATAAAGATCAAAATTTTATATTTATTTTAATATTAATTTTTATTTATTAATTTTATTTTCAGAATTTTTATTTCGCCTTGCCACGCGCTTACATGACATCAAGAGCGTATAAAGAAGCCTTCTTTATACGCTCTTGATGACATCTATATACTGGCTGGGCTTCGTTTCTAGTCTAGTCTGTGGTATGGTTGCCATATTACAACCGCGCGAGGGCTGCACAAGGAGTCGATTCTGCATAAAGCAGAAACTGAAACGATGGAAGACGGAAAACGCCCGAATGAGGAAATATATCGAAAATTAAGCTCACAAGCGTGAGATATACATATTCCTGATTATTATTATTATTATTATTATTATTATTATTATTATTGTTATTATTATATATTATAATATAAATATATATATATTATATAATATATATTATATAATATATATATACATATATATATATGCGTGAGAGGCGTGTGTGTGCCTGTACGCGTGTGCATGCGCGCGCGGCATGCGCGTGGCCGCTCACCTGTGTGTGTGTCTGCGCGGCGTACCATACATTGCGTGCGGTCGCGGTGCGTCGGGCTGCACGCGCATTCCATAACGCTGACTAGGCACGCGTCCTATACTGCATCTTGATATCATGGCCACCTTCGCTAACGCTCAAACTGTAATTACGAAATGCATGACATTATTGACAGTTCAGATTTTAGTTCGTTTGCTCGCCCCGCATGATAAAGATTAATGCGTCGTGAGAACGCCGACAGTGGTGTGAAACTACAGTGACAGCTAAATTTCGTCGACAAATTCTAGCAGATCTCGGAGCGTTTTTGCGGAGTTTAACACTTCGAATTCAACGAAGTCTTAATCGAAAATCAACGCTAATGCGATGCGTCTTCTGCGGTGCGGCTCCGTGACTCTGTCATTAGGGGCTGGTCGCGTGATCCCTTTGATAAGTTCGACAGATGTCACTTATTGCTGGATGGCTTTCTCATGGTTATGTGTGCGGGGTTATCGGCTGCGTGTACGTGGGTGTGGTGTGTGTGCTTGGGGGGGGGCACGGCGTGTGTGGTGTTGCGGAGGGTGTGTGCGTGCGTGCGGTGCGTGCGTTGCTGTGCCGTTGTGACAAACACTATTAGAGTACGCCTACATGCAGTTTCGTATTGCGGTACTTTTCGGTGATAATGTTTCTGTAGCCCAACAAGTTCAAGTGCGTGCGTGTGTGTGTGTGTGTGTGTGTGTGTGTGTGTGTGTGTGTGTGCGTGCGTGCGGGCTTGTGTGCGTGTGTGCGTGTGTGCGTGAGTGCCCGCGCGCGCGCGTGTGTGTGTGTGTGTGTGTGTGTGTGTGTGTGTGTGTGTGTGTGTGTGTGCGTGTGTGTGCGTGCGTGCTTGTGTGCGTGTGTGCGTGAGTGCCCGCGTGCGTGCGCGTGTACTTGCATGCGTGCGCGCACACGCGTGTCTGTCTATTTGTCCGTTCGCGTGCGTTCGCGTGCTTATACGTGTTTGAACGACGTGCACACGCGGTGATATGGAGCACGATACACGAAACCTTTCCGATCGATTACTGCACAAATGAGTTACTCTGTTTACGACACATGCGCAGTAGCAAGCGACAGCCTAGGGCAAAAGACGCGAGCTGCTTATAGACGGGCCCACGCGTCTTGTGTAGGAAGGCAATACGCTAACTTTGCATTTGTGGCACTTGCAAAATGCCGCAAGGTGGCCATCTTAGCGGGCACCGGCGCTTATGTTATTATCAAAGATATTTTTATCGGAAATGGAGCGACGCAACTGAGGGGAAGCACGTAGAGCGTGCGTGTGGGGGATGAAGCTTGTTTGGCACACTGTGATTCGTTTCGGGAAACTGTTTAGCTCGTGGCTCTATTAATTAAGCGTGCGGCATACATTGACATTCGGAATTTTTCAGTCGTTTTCTTTCTACAGAATTTCCCCCTGTTCGTTGCGCTGAGCTAAGACTATGGTGGCTTAACGCGTCTCTTGTTACGTAATCTGCCTATATCCAATTAGACCAGCCATCTATGTCGTCTATATGTCTACACTTTCTCATTTTATGAGTACCGAAGCACGTAACGTAATACCCATGCATGCCGCAAGCGATTTCGATAGAATAATTAAAATGATGGTTCGTTTGTCGCCCCAGCTGTTAACGTCGTATGTGGAGTTTGTAACTAAAAGATTTAGTAAGGGTTAACAGTTACGACAAGTCAAACTCATAACTCGGGTATTTTTACTGCTAGTTTATAGACGTGAGCCATGCATGCGCTGTATTGGAACATTGTTTCATTGGTGTTCTGCTGTGTGTGTGTGTGTGTGTGTGTGTGTGTGTGTGTGTGTGTGTGTGTGTGTGTGTGTGTGTGTGTGTG